GGGAATGTGTGTGGTTGGTTTGCCCCCTGTGATGCAGCAGTCCCCTAAAATGGACTTTTGTTTTTCTTGCTTCATCTGTGCAAACAGCATACAGTCTGCCAGACAGCAGGGTCAAGCACATGCGGGCCTGCATCTGATTAAAAGCACTCAGAAGCCTTCCTCTCTTTAAACAGAACGCCTGTGTACCTCCTGTAGCCTGGGCAGGAATTCAGGCAGTGCTGCTGGGTGTTTTTCCTCTGCCCAGTGAAGTTCCCATTGACTAAGCTTCCCCATAAATGAAGATAACCGAGCAGCCTATTCCCATCCACACAGATCCAACCCGCTGCAGCAGTGACTGCTTGCCACCACGGTTCAGTTCCAGAGGAATAACAGCTGAGTCACTGACACGGGGCTTCCCGTTTCTATCACGTCGTGCCCCCTTTCTGACTAGACCCTTTCAGGACCCTGACCCTCTTTCCCCATTTTCACTCTTAATATGGTGGTTGGTTGGATATTTTAAGACCCTCGCAGACAAGAATACAGCACGAATGATTTTCAAATAAATTGACAACTGATTGCATATAACTAATGCCCTGCACTAAATACTACTCTATAATAGGGGTGACTGATTTGAACTCTATTAGAGTCATTATTTCTTTTCCTGGGGGAAAAATATTATAATTTGCATGGAGAATGAAAGATGGACATGTCCCTTGGGCATCTGTTAGACTATGCAGGCTGTTCAGGTTTTTTTTTCCCCCTCTCAAGCTACATCATCATTTGCTTAGCTAATGACTCTCCTGTCTGGGTCTAGCACAACAAATGTCACATTTAACCATCAGGACAGCTAATTCTCGAGGATTTTAAAAAATGATAAATATATCTACAGGGTTGTCTCGGTGGAGAAAAGATGAATTGTTTAAAGGAAGTGTGTAATTTGTTTAAGTTTCTATTATTCCATTTTTGTGTAAATGACACTGGAGTAGTGCTTGTGAATCTCAGGCAGGCACTCACATAATTTCTGGTAGTTTTTCATAGTTTGGTTTTCCCCTTTTTTTGTTTTTTAAGGTTCCAGACTTCCCAGATGCTGTCTCTTCAGTCACTGGCTTTGCTCATAAAAATTTTAAAATCTGTGGGCTACCTAATATCCCTCACGTCAGTGAGTTCAGTGGAATGATAGCAAGTATTAATTTGGGTTCATTTCACTGCGTCATAGGGAAAAAGTAGAGCTCGGTAAGCAACTGTTTCCTATTCATTGCAGCGTTCCATCTACAAACAGCTCTGCGTTGTAAGGCTAAATCAATAATATGCCGTACAACTTTCAGAATTTAAAAGCAGGGATTCTGATTCAAAATAACTAGAGCTAACTCTAGCGAAATTAATGGTGTCTGACTGGTGTACACCTGATTTATATGACAAGGAGATTAGACCCAATCAACTAGCAGAACATAAGTAAAGTCCATTTTCAGCTCTCTGTTGGATGCATATTGTTGGCTCTTAGACCTGTCCTATAGGCTAGAGACAGAAGCTACACGTGAACCAGTTTAAGTGGTCAGGTTTAAACCTGTAACAGAACATAAGTTCAGTGCGCATAAATCAGTTTCAAAATGGCTGAAACTGGTTTAAGATTAGCCTGATTGAATGTAGTATCAGACTTAACTGATTTGGGTCAGACCAGTTCATGGAACTTCTGTCCCAGATGCTTTCCTGGTTTAAGTTAAATTAGCATCCCCCAGCATCCTGGCATGATTGTCAGTCCTGGGCTGTGCTCTCTGCTCCAGTGGAGCAGGGCTGGCCCCGCTCCCAGCTGGGACTTTTCCATCCCCAGCAGCCAGGAGCAGGGCCGATCTCCTGCCTCACCCCCTCCTCTGCTGCGGGCAGGGGAGTAAAGCTTCTACTGCTGGCTTCCTCCTCCTGTCAGGAACAGGGTGGGAGTTTTTCTGCCCCCACTCCCTCCCCAGCTGCCCCACAAGACCTGCTGGGCTGCGGGCTGCAGTCACTGGGGAGCCCTGTCCTGCAGGACAGACTGAGGCGGGGGAGCTTCAGCCTGGGATGTCAGCCCCATCCCTCCTCCAGTGTCAGCTGCACTGTAGCCTTCCAACAGCCTGGCAGGCGGGGGGTGGGGAGCCAGGAGCCACAGAGGCTGTGCCAAGCAGGGCTGACGGGCAGCGGGGGGCAAGGAAAAGGCGCCAGGCTGCGGCTGTGCCCAGGAGGTACCAGGCAGCCCTGGTGCTCTGACCCCCCGAGACCAGCTCCACTGAAGTGGTGGCACCCAGGGCTATGCTCACTCCACCGCTCCTGGGATGCAGCAGGGGTCTGCAAATGGGGGTGGAAGAGGGAGGGGGAGGAGGATGCCATTTTTCCTCCTCGCTCCCTTCTCAGTTGGCCTGCCAGCTGGGAAAAACATGTCACAGGGTGATCCTCCTGGCTCCCAGCTGCAGATCCCCATCTGAGCCCGGAGCCAGGGTGATCACCCCACCGGCCATGCCCCTTCCCCAGCTGGCAGGCCAGCTGGGAGGGGAGTGGGGGGAAAACGGCCCCCACTTTGGGCTTCCCACCCCCTGTGCCAGGCACAGCCTGGCTGGGGTGCAAAGCTGGGAGCTGGGCGGGGGTGAGGCATTTATCACCCGCTGCCTGCTCGCGATGGTGCCAGGCGCGTAGATGTGGGCAGCGGCAGGGGAAGGCAATGGACCATTGCAGCTCGGTGCAGCCTGCCCCGGCGGCCCAGGGGGGCAGGCAGTGACTGGCTCACAGGAGCCCGCCCTGAGCATCTGGTGCCGCTGTGGTGCCAGGTGCCTCACCTCTGCCCACCACGATAGTTCACTCCACTGTTGCTGCCAGGAGAGGCAGGTGGCCCGGAGCTGCGCTCCAGCCCGCCTGCAAACTGTGGTGCATGGGGCTGCAAGCAGGAGGTGGTGGGCACAGACCCCCACTCCCTAGGGCTGCTCCAGCCTGGGCTGCACTACTGCAGCGGGAGGCAGTGGTGAGTCGGGTTTCCCCACTCCCCGCAGCCAGGTCACATCCCCGCTCCCTGCCCTCTCCCTGTGGCCAGCTGGCTGCTCCTTGTAGGGACTGATGTCGGTGCCCCCGCTGCTGCTGGGCTTAACCCCCCACCTTCCACTCAGGCTACTGGCATCTGGCTCCTGCAGCCCTGGGTGTACAGGTGCGTAAGCGAAGCATGTCAGTGCCCACGCTGCCCCTCTCTGCAGTAGGGGGATTAAACCCCTGCATCTCTTCAGGCTTCCAGGGTCTGGCCCCGCTCCCCCTCCTGCCACCAGCCAGTGAGTGGGGGTGGGGGGGGGGCTGTGGACCCTCGACAGGGGCTGCTTTCCCCCTCCCCCTCCAGGCACACCTGGGTTGGGGTCCCACTGGCCAAGGTGGGGGTTGAAACTCTTCCGCAATCACACTCAGGCCTGCCCCTTCCTTCAGCTTAGTTTCTCTCCAGCTGAGGGCTCGCTCTGGCTCCCCAGCTTCTGGTCTGAGTCACTGTAGGCACGTGCCTGCATTTGCGGAGACAAAAGTGGATGTCTGCCCACTTGCAAATCGGTTCAATCTATGCAGGTTAGAGTAAAGGCCGCTGAGTAAAAACTCAGCTGGTCTAATAAAACATACCACATCTACCCAAAGAACCTCGGCTGCAGGATGAGGGCTTTAAGTCAGGAAAAATCAGGTACTATATAAAACAGAAGACCTGGCCAACACGGCTGGATACTCAAGGAACCCCCATGACCTGCCTCGCGTGGGATTTTGATAGGGGCCGGCCTTAACTTAAAAAAATGTTCTTTAAAGGAATTTTTCGTGTTCCAACCCAAATCAAGTCCAAATTCACGAGTCAGTCCCGAACCGTAAGTGGCCCTACAACCGGCAAACATCCTCCATCCCCACCAGGGGCTTCAGATATTTCCAAAGTCTTTTGGCAGGCATCCTACGTGCAGACCCAAGCCTGGAGAGCTGGGGTTTGCATGCCCCCAAGTTTTGCCTGCCCTCAGCCGTATGGCTGCAAAAGCAAGCTAGGGAGGAGTCTCCCATTTCCATAAAATGGGCTTTAAGCCCCAACACCTCAGTGGGTACTAAACAACACCAGAAGAACAGTTATCCCCAGGAATGCTTAAGGAAAACTACCTTCAAAGACCCAGATTTTGTTCTAATTATTTATTTAATTTGTATTGGAGGCCAGATTAACCAAAACTAATTCCAAATCCACGAGTCCAGAACTATAAGTGGCCCTACTACCAGCAAACATCCTCCACCGCCCTCTGGGGCTTCAGATGTTTCCAAAACCTTTGGCGGGCGTCCTACTTGCAGGCCCAAGGCTGGAGGCTTGGGGTTCGGACGCCCCCGAGCATGGGCGACCGGTGCCTCCCGAGTCTGGGGGGCACCAGATCACCGACTGGGGGGGGCGGCCCCCCAGTGGCCGAGCACCCAGCCCGAAATCACCAGCGGCGAAACCAGAAGCGCACTTCCAGTTTCACGGCTGGCGTTTCCAGGGGGTGCACAGCCAATCTGCGCAAGACCAGACTGGAGCACTAGCCCCTGCCCCCGAGTTTTGCTCGCCCGTACCCATGCGGCCCTCGGGGCAAGCCGAGGAGAGGACTCCCCCTTCCATCAGCTGGGCTTAAAGCCTCTACCGAGCCGCGCCGAAAGAGCGGTTCTCCTGCAGAGCGGTTCAGGAACGCTGCCTTCTCGGGCACAGATATGTGGCATTTCCCCTGCCAGGTTAAGAAGCCTTTTCAGATACATTTTTTTTTTTAATGGATTTATTTTAATTTTTAATTTTTTAATTCTTGTTTTTGTGACTCAGCCTGCGCCAAGTGGCCGTGCCCACGCTGGGTGCCGGGGCCGGGCCGGCTGCGCGCGCGGGTCCTCCCCGGCAGGGGGCGCTGC